TGAATGTTGAACCACAGATCTATCTTCTCTGGCGGCGGTTTTGAACCACAAAATCGTTGTATGTGGTGGATGTGGTTTGATGTCAATTTTGTTGTCGAATGGTCGATGTTGCAGAAGATGGCTTGAAGGGAACATATGAGGTCGATGGTGGAGGCACATCCATCAGAGAAAAAGAGAGTTGAGGGCTAGGGTTCTACTTCCCCAACATCCTTGTCCCAGATCAGCTTCTGATTCTTTCGAACAAGATGGGAATAAGAGGATAAGAAGTCGATTTCAAGCCAAGATTGGCATTCCCCTCTTAGTTCGAGCTGAAATCAAACAACGGTGTAGAAATCGAGCAACTATGGGAAAGGAGACAATGATCGATGGTGGTGATAGTCCCGTTGTTTTGGGTAGTCGATGACGGTGGCTTTTAGTGTTCTTCAGTTGAAGCTTTCACTTGATTCTTTGATTCCATCAACACATTTTAACTGGTTCGAGCCTAAATTTGTTAATGGTGTCATGATCTCATAGTGGGCAATCTAGGGTTTCAGGAAACATCAAGTTTGGGACATCAGATGTGGTGAATTGGAGGAATGGTCAAAAATTTTCAGTAGTGTCTGTAAGTGACAAGACGATGGTGGTTTTCAGATTGTGCTTTTATGTTTATGTATGTGTTGAGAGATAGAGAGAGAGACACACACACACACACACACAGAGAGATAGAGAGAGAGAGTTGGGTGGGCTGTATGTGGAGGGGTCTTTTTTTTAAATAAAATAATAATTAAACAAAATAAATTAAAAATGAAATATATAAGGGCATATTAGTCATTTCAGGTGGGGTATGGACCAAAACAACACAAAAATACCAACCATAGGGACCAAAACCACACAAATTATCCGAAATTGGACCACTACGCACCGCCAAACTTTTTGGACCAAAACACATAATTTTGCCAACCACAATGACCATTTTTGTAATTTTGTCTTATGTCAAATTAAACATATTTTTTTGTAACATTCTAGAATCCAAATTACAAACACAATGGAAAATAAACTATTATGGAATTTCAAGAAAATGTTCGAAATTCGATGAATAAATCTGGAATTTCGAAAAAAATAATTCATATTTTCATTAAAATTCAACAAAAAAAACATAGAAAATGAAAAATAAATACAATCAAAAGACAAAAAAAATATAATATTTTATTGAAAACGGATAATATTAAACTTTCAAAATAGTAATAGATAACTTTTTGTAAAAATGTTTGGATACAAGTGATAAAACACATTATATATTTGTATTTTATATTGATTATATTAACATTTTCTTTTAAAAAGAATAAAAGATAGAAGGAAAAGACCAAAAGTGTGTTGTATTCCACCAAACTTTATCTTTTCTTTCCCATTATGTAAGGCACATGAAGTTGAAAAAAATTGGTTACAGCTCAAAAGATTTCAACCAATTCCCGCAAAGAAGTTGATCTTCCCCAAATTTCGTGTTTCCCCCAATTGGAATTGGGATTGCCAAATTTACACTAATCAAAACCCTACTTTAAACAATCTGTTCTGTCCCCACTCAATCAGTTACCACCCCACCACATGTATATGTATATATGGAACACCCAAACAATTGTCCCATTCAATTCTCCCATCTGTCAAAACCACACACCAATATTCTCTCTTCCCTTCCGCAGATCCCCCATATAAACTGTACATAACAAAAATCTCATTCTTTTGTAGATACATGTATATGCATACACACAGAAAAAGAGCGCGATTCGTGTAGATTCAGTCGCCTGCGGTTCAATCGGATTCCGATTTGATCGCGGTTTGGTTTTGATACGTTCAATTTGTCAACGATTACAATGGCGCCACCGCATTGTGTATTGGTCACCGGTGGTGCCGGCTACATTGGTAGTCACACCGTGTTACAGCTGCTGTTAGGTGGTTACAAGACCGTGGTGATTGATAATCTTGACAACTCATCACAAATCGCTATCAATCGAGTCCAAGAACTCGCTGGTGATCATGCCGCTAACCTAGTTTTTCATCAGGTTAATGTTCTTCTTTTTCCCCCTTTTAATTTACTTACATTTTTAACAAATTGTTAGAGGTTTTGAGCAATTAAGATCAGTTGGTCAATCGAAGTGTTTATATTCAATGCTTGATTTTCGAAATTGGGGTTTAATTAAACAATTTTTTTGAGACTTTCAATTTCGCCATTGTTTCCGATTTCTTGAAGCTTCTTCTCAGTTCTAAATTCGATTTCCTTTTTATCAGTTTCCAGTTGATTTGGAGCCCTGAAATTGGGTTTCTAGTAGTTGAATTGTTTTAAAGTAGTTATTTGTTGATTAGTTTTATTGGATGAATCTTTATCAAGTGATGTGACTTTTATGTTTCAATTAGAAATTGATTGATGGAACAGTAATGGAGGTTGGTAGGATTTCCAATTTTATTGGAGGGCTAACTTTTTGATCTTTCCTTTTTCATCATTCTTAATCTTTCAAATTTAGAATGACAAACTGTTTTAACTTTCAACCACCCATTTTATACAAACAAACAAACAAAAAAAATCCCACTTTTATATTTTGTTCAAACAATTTTATTGCTAGTGTCTTTTTCTTATTTTCTTCTTCTTTTTTTTTTCTCTTGCAGATGGACATCAGGAACAAGCCTGCATTACAGAAGCTTTTTGCTTCTACAAAGTAAACTTACAATATCTACACCTTTTAAATTCCATCATAAAAACTCTCATGAAACTTGAAAATTTTAATTAACCAAAGATTTTAAACAGATTTGATGCAGTTATACATTTTGCTGGACTAAAAGCTGTAGGAGAAAGTGTTCAAAAGCCATTGATGTATTATGACAACAATGTTGTTGGTACTTTAACTCTATTAGAAGTCATGAATGCCCATGGATGCAAAAAGGTAATAATCTTTTTAACATTCTATTATTAATATTTTATACAAATAAATAACATGTTTATAAAATTTTCAGATTGTGTTCTCTTCATCAGCTACTGTTTATGGTTGGCCAAAGGAGGTGCCATGCACAGAAGATTTTCCCTTATCTGCAGCCAACCCGTATGGAAGAACCAAGGTATGATTTTTATTTTTTAATGAAAAATGATTTGTTTTTTTGATAATTTGAATGTGTTTTATGAACAGCTGATGATTGAGGATATATTTCGTGATATATATGCATCGGATTGTGGGTGGAAAATGATAATGTTGAGGTATTTTAATCCAGTGGGGGCCCACCCAAGTGGTTATATTGGTGAAGATCCTCTTGGGACACCAAATAATCTTATGCCTTTTGTTCAACAAGTTGCTGTTGGAAGAATTCCTGCATTGAAAATATTTGGAACTGATTATTTAACCAAAGATGGAACAGGGGTATGTTTTTTTTTTCTTTTTCTTTTAAAATTTTAATTTAATTTGGAAAATAAATATCAATCTTGATTTTTTTTTAATATGAATTTTCAGGTACGTGATTATATTCATGTTGCGGATTTAGCAAATGGGCATATGGCTGCATTGAGGAAACTCTCTGATCCAAAAATAGGTTTGTGTCGCTTTTTCTATATATATTTTTCTATATATATATTTTAAGAATCTTGAATGTGTTTGATTTTATTGATAATGTGATTATATATATATTTTAGGTTGTGAGGTTTATAATTTGGGAACGGGTAAAGGAACTTCTGTTTTGGAGATGGTTGCAGCGTTTGAAAAGGCTTCAGGAAAGGTATAGTCGTTGTGAATCTTTTTTTTTTTTTTTTTTTTTTTTTTCCAGATTTTATAAAAGAAATAAAAAAATAGTTCATTTTTATAAAGTTTTATTTTTCTTGTTTCAGGAAATTCCTCTAATAATAGCTGAACGAAGGCCTGGTGATGCTGAGGTTGTATATGCTTCAACAGCAAAGGCAGAGCGTGAATTAAACTGGAAGTGAGTTTTATATTTTAATTATAAACTTTTTTTCAATATTTTCATTTTCATAAACATTCTTTTAGTATTTGTTAGATATTTATAAATATGTCAATATAAGCAAAACGAAAGACTCTTGTTAATGGTCCACTTAGGGAAATGATGGAAAGAACAACCGAGGGTAAATTTGTAATTATGAATTTCTGTATTGAATCGTTCTTTTTTTTGTGTGTAATGTAGGGCAGAAAATGGGATAGAGGAGATGTGCAGAGACCAATGGAACTGGGCCAGCAAGAACCCTTATGGGTATCAGAACAAATAATCAAAGGGGCAAAATTGGAAATTTGCAAAGTCATCGATATAATAGGAGTATAATACAAGTGATGTTTACCTGGTTTCCTTTTTGTCTTCTTGATAGAAGGTGTTAGGTAGGCTAACGTCGAAAGTTAAAAACAAATAAACAAGTCAATAGTATTTAGTTATTTTTTTTTTCTAAAAACTGTATGGGGATCTTTTTACTTTTTACTTTTTACTTTTTACATATAGAGTCGGCTTCTTGTATATGATGAGATCTGGTGTTTATGTAGCAATGGAAGAAGAGACATATTACATTTCATTACATATATAACAACATTCTGCATCTATTTATTTCTTTCCCTTTTTCCTCTATGTTCTTTGAATTGATCAGATCCACAACAAATAGAGTATGATATGACAGAATTGGTTTAGTTGGATTTTTACTTCTTTTGATTGATCAAAGGATCTTTAAATGGAATAGAAAATTACATTTTTTTTTTGTTTTGTTGGATTTTTACCATTTACACAAAAGGAATTATATATTCTTGAAAGTGGTATTTTCCAAGTGGATTTTTGTTTGGATAGAATTGTATTTACACGTGGCAATAGAAGAAGATATGAGGGTGGATCAGAAACTACTCTCTCATTGGCTATCACAAAATCTTCTTATCCAATAACACTAACCAAAAACATCCACCACCACCTGCATCTAAAACCCACCACCATCGCCACCCAACTTCACAAAATCCCCATTTCTTCGTCTTCTTGATTCCAATCACCCACCACCACCGATGGCCATGGCTACCCAAGCTTCCCTATTCGCACCCACAATCCCCACTCAAACCTCCCCATGGAAACAATCACAACTCACCTCCTTCACCACCGTCAAACCAACCAAACCCACCACCCGATTCACCACCATCAAGGCCGCGGCGGCAGGAGAAGTCCCCACCAAAGAAGCTCCGGTGGGATTCACCCCACCTGAACTCGACCCCAACACCCCATCTCCAATCTTCGCCGGAAGCACCGGCGGCCTGCTCAGAAAAGCTCAGGTGGAGGAGTTCTACGTCATCACATGGGAATCACCAAAAGAACAGATCTTCGAAATGCCCACCGGCGGCGCCGCCATCATGAGGGAAGGACCGAATCTGTTGAAATTAGCGAGAAAAGAACAGTGTTTGGCTCTTGGGACAAGATTGAGGTCAAAATACAAGATTAAATACCAGTTTTACAGGGTGTTTCCGAATGGGGAAGTTCAGTATTTGCACCCCAAAGATGGAGTGTACCCGGAAAAAGTTAACGCCGGCCGGCAGGGGGTGGGTCAGAACATGAGGTCAATCGGAAAGAATGTTAGTCCGATTGAAGTCAAGTTCACCGGAAAACAACCCTATGATATTTGAATATGATCATGGATGGTTTTCCGATGGACTGTGATTATGTAATTTTCAAGTTAATTAATTTAAAGAAACATTTTCATAGTTTCAAAGTACATGTGAATTTAATAACATAACTAATCAACCTAACAAAAGATTACGAACTAACTTCAATCTTAAAAGACTTGTGAATTTATATGTGATCAACTTTTGTTATGTTTACTAGTGTTAACGAATTTAGCAAGTTAGATATTTTGGCATGATAAGAAAAGAAAAAAATGAACCACAAGTTCCGATTTTGGCTGTTATGGCCTTCGATATAATAATTGCTCAAACTTCTAGCTTTGGAATTCGATTAACACACGAATGAACTAGCAATGTATCAACATAAAAGTGAATATTTTTATCTGGAGGTTGTTATTAAACCGGTTTGGCTTAAAAACCCATTCAATGTTTTGTTTTTGTAGCATCTTGCTATTTTGCTTTTAATAAAAATATGAAACATTAAGATGTTAGAAAATAAAATAAAAATAAATGGATAATAAATATGCAGATCTACACATGTCCAACAAAAGTCGCTGAAGTTTAATTAGAAAAGCATGCTTTTCATATATTTTCCACATCATCTTCATTAGAGTTCTTGAGTTCTTTGTCGGTGAGTTTTTCATCTCAATCTTGATACCAAAATTGATAATATTGATTGCCATATTGACAACATTTACCAAATTAAGCCATTTAGAGGCAAAAGTTTAAGGGTTTTTTTTTAAAAAATTTTCAAACTACATGTGCTAAAACAATCTAAGACTAGTCATACAAAGTTACAAACCAAACTACTTGAATTCAAAAACCTAATCATCAAAACCTTTTATACAATTGCGTTGATTTATAAAAAGAAAAATATTACAATTGCAGAGAAAATGAGCTTCAAAATGCATCCAACACACAGTTATTACAAAACTAGCAGCGAAAACCTAAAACAGATCCACCGTTAATGGCGATAACGACTTTACACTCAGCTGTAGCTTCCACATGGTGTGTAAAGAAGTGCAAAACCCTGACCCGACCCGGCATCTCCATTTTAGTTTCTATCTCTAAACTAGGTCCGATTCGTAACCCGTTCATCCCCTCCGGCTGACGGTTAATCACCGACAATAACGGAAAAGACTTGACGGAAAATGTGGCAGCCATGTACTGCGTACGACGGGCTTCAATCTTGCCGGAGGGAACAAACATGAACCCCACCTGGTTTCCGGCGTAGAGGAGTTGTAGAGAGCTGTCGTAGTGTGTGAAAACGCCGCGGTTGGGGTTGTTGACGGCGATGTAGTGGGAGATGGTGAAGGTGACGGTGGTGTTGGTGGTGGAGAAAGATGGAAGTTGGACGGCGGTGACGGCGATAGCGGGGGTTTTGGGCTTGAATAAGGTGAAGAAAATGATGAGGATGATGATTGTTATGAAGATTAAGAAGATGGTGGCTACGATGCATGAAGCTAGATTTGTCCTGCCGGACGGCGGCGGCGATAGCTTTTTCCGGCCTCCCATTTGGGTCAAAGAGGGCTCTGTTTTTCAAAAAAGAGCAATAAAACTTCTACTATTTCGCATGCTTTTACTTTTTATCATGCAATGAGTTGAAATATCTATCTTTAATATAAAGTTTTTACATATACATCAAGAAAATTCTAAAATGAGAAATTAACATATACTATAATTAGTTTTTATCTTCTTATAAAAATTACTATTATTATTGATATGAAATTAGTCAAATTACCCTTCTATCAGCAAAGAATTAACATTTTATTTTAAATTTAATTTTAATCTATAAAATTTTATATATTTTTTATATATCTAATAAAAAACTGAATATATTTAATAAATTATAAATCAGAGCTATAATTGTCTGGCACAAGGGAGCACAACAATTATTACTGACCCCCGGTGGGGCAAAATTGTCAAAAGTTAGAAAAGAGAAAAGAGAGACTGAGAGAGTAAGTGGGGCCAAACGGAGCTCGAACTGCGCGGAGGAGGAAGGTGGAGGTAGCGGTGGTCATCAGTCACACTCGTGGTGGGGTTGGGGAATCTTCCTTTAACCGGATTTAAGTTTTAAAAACCCTTCGATGTTAAATTTAAAAGGAAAAAAATAAAAAATTGTAATAGTTTCATTTTCTATCCATCTAAGATCTATAGAATTTACATAAAACTAGAAAGGTTACCTCCGCTACGCGGGGGCCAGAAGCTTTCAATGTTGTTTCCGAATTGATAAATATGACAGACATACAAAGTGCAAGAATGAAAAGTCCGGGCTTTGTTCCGGACAAAAAATGTAAAAGTTTTGACTGCAAGGACCAAAAGTGTGAAAATGGCTAAAGAATTAAAGGGGTAGGAATTAGCAACTTTTTAGAAAATGGATCAAAGTTGTCAAACCGTTTAAGTTTTGTGGCCAAACTTTAAATATTAAAAGGTTTCAAAAAAATGTAAAAATATTGATTGGAAGGACCAAAAATGTCAAAATGGGTAAAGAATAATGAGCAAAGTTGTCAAAAAACAT